AACTGAAGATAACATGAAACCTCAGCTGAATTCAAACTGTAAAACTTCTGCAGTTACCAGTTGTCAACAGTTATTTTCACATTTAGATTCCAAAGTTATATGCACTATTTTTTAAATTCTCTGGGTTGTGTAAACATAAAAAGAAATAAAAATCAGTTAATAGAGTTAAGAAAACTTTCAAGAGACATGACAAAATTAGAGAGCATTTTCCCCCCATTCATTTATATGTCATCATATGTCAAACGGTAGTTTAAGGCAAGATGAACAGAAAGTCTGGCCTCTAGAGGCCTACAATTTACTTTAGACAAGGCAACTATCTAAAATGTGACAATAAAGGTTTATAAGTGTTAGGAGGTGGGGANATGTTAGGAGGTGGGAACAGCATGGCAGGAAAACACACTTGGGTTTGAGAACAGGAGGGGCAATGTGAAAGTCAGTGAGAAAACTGGCTTCTCCGGGAGCAGCTATCAGATTGCATAGTTCTACTGGGAGAAAGTGTGCAAATAAAGTGTCACATACATTTCAATTCAAATCCCCAATTTTTCACATTTAACTAACATGTTAGTATAGTTTTTTGTTTGGTTTTGTTAATTCTCACCTGAGGATATTTTTTCAGAGATAGTGGAATAGAGGGAGGTAGGGGGAGAGAGAGAAAGAGAGAGAGAGAAACATCGATGTGAGAGAGACTCATCAACCTGTTGCCTCCCTCACTTGCCCTGACAGGGGGTGAGGAGTGAACCCGCAACCAAGGCACATGTTCTTGTCTGGGAATCGAATCTGTGACCCTTTGGTGCTCAGTCTGACACTCTAACCACTGAAACACACTGGCCACGGCAGTATACAGTTTTATTTATGCATTTGTTCAATGTGTATGCAAACATCTGCATACTGTAAAAATGCTTCATGCCTGACCTTGCCTGTGATACCTGTCTAATTTATGAGGCTGAAACAAGTTTTGAAGGTTATACAAGGACACACAAATAATCTTTTATTAATAATCCTCCCATTTGGAGACATGCTTAAAAAATGTTTAGATTCTGATAAAGTATATTTCTAGAAGTTTAAATGAAAGACAACAATAACCTGATTTTCCATTATTAGTTCAAATGCATTAAACTGTCCATATCCATATAATAATTAGTAATTATTAGCATTATTTAACATTCTGACATTGGCATGACTGTGAAAGTTCATTATAAACCAGCTTAAGTGGACATGGTGATTCTGTCTCTTGGGAGCTTACAAGATGGAACCCGGTTTCTTCTCTCCAAGAGTCAAAAGCATTTATTTTGGACAACTGTAAATAGAGTATATTTAATAGTTGAAACACAAGCAAGGAACTTGCCTCCATGGAGAATTAACCACAGTTATTTCAACTAAGTGACAATTGTTACTTGAGAAAACACCAGGAGGGCTTCCACAAATGATTTACTTAGGGGGCTTAAAGCAATTTTACTCTGCAGATTTGTCACTTTATAGATGCATCCCATATAATTCAGTAGCTCCAGAGGATATTTTTCAATAATTATAAGATTAAGGGCTTACTTGGGGAGCCATTAATAATATCAATGAAAGGATTAAAACAATTTCAATGAAAATCATATAGAGATCAAAGAGCTAGTGAAGTTAATGCTTCTGCTACATTTTAAAGGCAAACCTAATTACAGAAAAGCACAATCTCCTTTCAACCCACACCCAAAGTGGATCCCAAAGTTTGGGGGTAAGACAGAAACAAATAAAGGATGCATTCCTTATTACTCATGGAAAACTACCCCTGAAAAACCATTACAACATCTACATGCAATGAAATGATTAGACTTCTTTTAAGACATAACATTTGAGAATTTAAACATAGTTGGTATATGTCAAATATATAACAATGAGACAGATATACAAGAAGAATTAATGCAACCAAACTAATATCACATAGCATCCCTAATTTTAAAATATTATTTCTTATAAACACTCACCTTAGCATGAGTAAGCATTTTAGAAATAGACTAACAAAAGCCTTCAGGCTTGCCCAGAGAGACCACTATCCTTCAAGTATATCTCACATTTTGATTATCAAAATCGTGGCAGGTTACAATTCTATTATTAATTGATACAACAGAAATTTATAAAAATAAGATACTGACTCTACTGATTTATTAATCATATACAAACAGACATAGAATTTTCAGTATATCAAGAAGACAAAAGTTTAAAAATAAGACACACTTTCGTAAGCACAAGAAAAGTAATCTGTGAAACCTTTTTTTTTTATACTTCAGTTTGTGTATTTTTACATATGCTATGATTTCCCATATATTTTAAGAAATCCTTAAATATTAGGAAAAAAGAAATGCTTAAAAATAAAAATTCTAATGAAAAAAACAGATTCGAGAGAGCCCCAAGCAAGAAGAATCCAAAGAGGTCCAGGCCCAGATACATCATAATTAAAATGCCAAGAATTCAAGACAAAGAGAGAATCTTAAAGGCAGCAAGAAAAAAGCAACCTGTTACCTACAAAGGAGCTCCCATAAGGTTGTCAGCTGACTTCTCATAAGAAACTCTTTAGGCCAGAAGGCAGTGGCATTAAGTATTAAAGGTAATGAAAAGCAAGGATCTGAAACCAAGACTACTCTATCCAGCAAGGCTATCATTCAAAATAGATGGTGAAATAC